TGATCGATCGAGAAGAAAAGAAAGAGAGAGAGAGAGAGAGAGAAGAAAGAAGAAAGAGAGAGAACCGCAGAGTGACTTAGGAAAAACTTTAGTTACGTTATACTTATATCTCTCCCGCCGTCGTCCTTTTTTTACCTATCGTTTTTAGTGTTACAAGACAGAAAGAAAGAAAGAAAGGGGAGACGTCGCGCGACGACGTTTTCACCGCCCGCCAGGTTCCGAAAACTTTTGCTACCGTCGTTTTTATAATTTTAGAAAACGCAGAACGGATATCTTTTTTATGTAAACATTTGCATCGTATAGATAAGAGTAATGTATGTTGATCGTGAATATAACGAGTATTGTTATATGATTATTAAAAGAAAGAGTTTCGAAAATACATTCTATTTTTATTTTTCCGCCGGCTTGCAGATGATTGTTAATGCTTGATGAGCAAAACGGAGAGGGGGGTCACCACTCCGTCTCGCCCCCCCCCCCTTTTTTACAGCAATGTTCACGTCGTCGCAGTTACATCACGCATTTTTAGAACTCTTAAAACTGGAGGGACCCACGAATTTGCGAACCTTTTCTATTTTGGATCTTTCCCGCTAGCCGAAGGAAAACTAAAGTTTTTCTTACTATATATTCTGTGCCGAGCGAATGGATGTCGTTGTAAATCCTTGATTACAGCTCTTCCAAATCCTAATCCAAATTACAACGATTCGCTGCATCTGTAAATCATCGCTGGAGGTCCGAGTTCGTCAATCTTGGCGAAAATTTTAAGTAGATACGACCGACATTTTCCCATCAAAATCGTTACAAAATCAAGAAGATTAATAATCGTCGTAACATCTTTTATGATTTTTTTGAAGTTAAAAGTACGAATGCAGACGAGAGAAAGAGATCGTGACTTTCCACTCGATTTCCTTCATAGTCTTTTTGATCCAGAGATCAACGCTAGACGGAAGATCCCACTGTCCCAAATTGATTACAACTACACACACATTAAAAGAAAGCCATGTGCGCTATGTACATGTATTTATGATTTCTTTCACGATGAAGCCGTGTCTTCCGTCTGGCATCTCTGTCTTAATCCCATCGATTAATGTCATCGATGACGAGAAAATCTCTTGAATTTTCTCGCTTCACAGGCATTTTTTCGAAACATCGAGAATTTATGAAAATTTTATTATGATAACACAAATCTGAAGCCGAAAATTGGACCAAAGTATGCGATTGATAGCTCGTTTCGCTCGTTCTTTATGTATGTTGCTGGCCTCCTCGCTCTCAATTTCTCTTTATCTTTTTTTATCATATACAGCTAGTAATCCAACTGCTCTAATCACAGAGGGTAATTTAATGTGAGAGAGTAAAGAGAGTCGCGTCTTACACGTACACACATGCACACATATACATGTGTATATAACTGTATATAAATGCTTTATACCAGACTTAAGGATGTATTACACCCATTTTTATAATTTTTATATTTATAGAAGAAACTTTTATATTTACAGAAAAAATTATTTAAATAAAAAGAAGTGTGCTCTAATGAAAACATAATTAAGAAACAATGTAAAAAATTTCATTTTTTTTATATAAGTACTTTACTTTAAGTATTCTAGATGATTCATGTAAAGTTTTATTGCGATGCAAGAATTATCTTGTAAATAAAAATTTAATTTTATTTATATCATCACTTGTTATTGATAATCTTGATAATTTAATTTTTATTTATACAACAACCAATCTTCATTGCATTGCAATGAAACTATATAAAAAAATCTTGAATACTGAAAGTATTTATTAAAAAAATTGAAATTTTTATTATTTTTAATTAACATTTCTATTAAGCACTTTTACTTTATATTTAAATAATTTTTAATCCAAGTTTTAACCATCGCAAAGTTTTTTGTATTACTTTTAAATGCGATTTAGAATAATCTTTTCATTATAAATAAAAATAAGTGTAATACATCCTTGATGAGATAAGTTAAATCTTGCGTATCGTCGCTCGGAGGTACCGCGTGTGTTGTACCTGTGCATTTGCAGACACACCTTTTTCACGAGATCATAATGATCCTTTTTACCAGAGAGAAAGCGAAAGAATGAGAAAAATGGGAGAGAGAAAGAGTGTGTGTGTGAGAGAGAGAGAGAGAGAGAGAGAGAGAGAGAGAGAGAGAGAAGAGAGAGAGAGAGAGAGAAAGAGAGCTCTCTAGGCGTTCTTAAATGGAAGACAAAAAAATGGAGGAGAAAGGAGTTGTTTCCAAGGAGTTGTTTCGTGCGTTATTCCTGAAATCCGCGTGTTCAAGCCGAGCGAGTTAACAAAGTCGCAGCGATTTGTATCGAGTCGTTTTTGGAGCCTGTAACAATTAACGAATACGTGATAATAATTCCTAGGTTTGCCCCCTTAAGAGACAAGCGGGGTTCTCCGATGCGATGTCGATTTCCACGGGAATCGAGACGTCGATGAACAAATATATTAAGCTGTGGATTATCTTTTTGTTACCGCATTGCTCATTTCATTAAGAAAAGCGTCGAACATCACAGGAATTTGACCTTCATTGAAACAGCTGATTGATTAATGGCTAAGATACTTATCACCACCCTGCAAATGATTTATTTCGCTTGTATATTTTCGTCATTGGATCTCTACGTTTCTTCTTTCCCTCTTTACGTATTTCTTTTCATGTATTTTTTATGCCTGCATTCTCTTTTGTGTATATAAAACATGTATAAAATAAAAAAGTATAAAACACAGAATAAATACATCGTTTTTTTTACCTAAGATCCTGCATCTAAGATATTAATACGTTAAAGGGAGAGTACACTTCTGAAGTCTCAAGAGTTGGTCATTTTTAATTATTTTGTCAGGTAAATATATATGAAAATTGATGAATTTTTTCAAATTATTATTTTTTACATTATATTGTGATATCTAAAAAAAAAACATTTTTTTTGTACAAAAATATATATAATTATATAAAATATATATAATAATTATATAAAATATATATAATTAAAGATGATACTGCATGAAATGTGGTCATTGCATTGACAGACCGCAGTCTCCAATTTTTATCTAAAATTAAAAATTTGATTACGCGTACAAAATACAATATAATATATATAGATCTTAACTTAAGGAAAAAAAAAAAAACTATCTTTTCGCTTCGGTAATCAATACATACGTATATGCGGAAATGAATTGTGTTCAATCGAGAATGGAGCGCCAATTCAATTTTAAATATTTGAATATCGATCGGCATGGTCTACGCGTCTACGGCGTTAGCCTTATTGACTTGCAAATTAAGCTGCTGTTCTCCGCATTACGCGCGGTGGCTTTGCTTTTCCGCGTCGCAAATCCGCGTGAGGTTAGGTCCGTCGACGCGCTTCAGCATTCACAGAGAGGAATTGCATCGAAAAAGAGTCCAACGAAACCGAACATGGGATTTGTTGTTTTTGTTATAGCCGTAGAGGGAGGAGGGGTGCTACGTGAAAAATTGCAGTATTCGCAAATTTCATTAACCTCTGTTCTCGGTCGAATTCTAGAATCGAGAGTTTGCCTCTCTCAAATAGTACATGTAGATTCTGAGAATATTGAAAGAGATTGTAAAAATACATTATGTATAATCCATTCAAATATTTCAAATATGTATGATGTTATACAAAAAAATGTACTCGGTATGTTCAGTTTTTTTCATTTTTTCGATAAGATAAAAATATCAGATAAATAGACATTTAAAACCAGATATGAAGAGTTTCTTTTATTAAGAACTTTCAGGAGTCTTTTAATCTTTTATAAATACATAGTAAAAATAGACTATATTTTGTAATAGTACTTGAAAATATTAGATGATTGAACAATATAGACAGTTTCGAATTTTAAGATCGAATGCCAAATAATTTTGAAGATATTGTTTTTAAACATCGATAATTATTTCGTCGATTAAATCAATTAATCGGAACTGATTTCATCACAAATTTATCTCGCGAATGGAACGAAGTAGTCTGCGAATGATCGCTATTAATCTATCAAGACGATCGGAAGGGGAAAAAAATTAATTCTACACTCAGCACGCTGTGTAACTTTTCCCAGTAAATGAAAGATCGCTCGCGTTTTATTGGAAATTTCTCGAACGCCGAGGCGTTCCTTGTGAGAAAGCGAACGATTCTTTCTAATGTAAACGCGGCGTATGATTATGCGTGTGCGAGCGATCGTAATGGCGAATTGCATGAAGTTCCAGCAATCGAGGAAAAGGGAAAAAAATCGATCGTTCGACGAGAAACAAACAGGCCGTAATTCCTGTCCCTAACGGCATACGTAAATTCTAAAAATGTTAGGGGAATATCGTAAAAAATTACACGTATTCATATTCAAGCATTGTATCGTACGAAAAAATCTAGGCAAAAGTTGCCAATAGAGTCATACCACTTTGTTTTTGGACTATGTTATGTTTCTTAAACAAAAGTTAAATATAAAATTTTAGAAACAGATACAAACTAGAAAGTGTCTTCTATTAGATGATATTGCAATTTTTGTAATATTGTGTTGTATTTTGCAATAATCAACTTTATCGTAAGATAATCAAAAATGAACTTCTGAAAAATTGAACTCTGAAATCGATATAATAAGCAGTGATGCCAGAATTCAGATGTGATCTCGTTGTGAAGGAATTAATAATGAAGTAAATTAATAAATTATATTTATTTTCCTTTTTGCTGTTCTGTAAAACACAGATAATAGCGCAATCATAAAGGTTAGGTTAATAGTTAGGTTAAGATACCATAACTTATATCTGTTTTATCGACTGCTAGGCTAGGCTGCGCTAGTTTACGCTACATCTCGATTTTATAATTAAAAGCCCATTATATGAGATAAATAAGAAAGAGAAAAATTTCAATGAAATAATTTTAGGAAGCTACAAACATATGATAATAATACCCAATACTATTAATAATGTTTTCACTATTATTTAAACTATATAATTTGCAAATCGCCACTCTTGTGCGAAAAAGATCATAATATTGTTAAAATTTATTTTATAATATTAATATCAAAATATTATTAAAATATTAATAATGAAATTATAAAATCAATATTATTATTGAATTATATTATTAAATACCGATCATACAATGCCTTACTGTTATAAAACACAAACACGCCGCTATGAACTTTATAAATTTGAGAAAAAAGCATCGAATAAACAAATCTTTTTTCCTCGAACTCGTGGAATAGATTATTAAAATCAACTGAAGCAATCGTCGCATAAAAATCATTCATTATTTCATTATTAGGCATAGACATTTATTAAATGGTCGTAATACATGAAGAGTTTTTTTAATTATAATAATTTTATTAATAAAGTTATTTTTTCCTTCAAAAACTATATATAAAACTATATTCTTATATCGAGGTGTGTAATTCATTTTGAAAAGTTCTTGAACTTTTTGTATATAATTCTTCAGAAAGGATGGCTCTTAAAACTCGTAAATTTATTTAAAATAAAGTTAATTTTAAATTTCTTGAAAATATTAGAAAGAAACGTAAAACAATATTCCACAATTTATAATTATAAAATAATATCTGTGTGTGATACCTTACAATAACTTTTATCTCTGGAATACATCCTTTGATAATACATGCTGATAATATAAGACTAACCACTGGCATCGTCGATAATATGGCATCAAAATAAATATTTGATCTATAATTTCGCAGCCTACGGAGGCTCAATCATAATCATGAATAAAAAAAAAAAAAGAAAACGGACAATTGCTCTTTTTACTAAAGAGTTAATAGTTAAACAGTTACAACTCGGATACAAAGTAGTTATGAAAAAATAACCCTTCATTAACGGCCACAAAGTCGCGCATTACTGCGCCGCTCGTCATTACGGAAAGATCCCGTGTGTGTCGCGTCACGTCACTCGAGCGATCCTTGGCACACGTGGCCGCGGCGGCGAGTGACGGACGGACGAGACGGAACGAGACGAAACGGAGAGCGGAGAACGGAGACACGGCTCCGTGACGTTTACTCGCGTCTCGTCTTTGTGCATCGCGCCGAGATCCGCAGCGCGGAGCGCGGTGTCCCGTTGCGGATTGCGGGCTGTTTTGTGTTGGTCTCTCTCTCTCTC